TTGTAAATTTGAATTATGCACATTAAGTAATTCAACTACATAGTTCAATAGTATAGTATCAAATAAAAGTAAACATCTATAAAAACAATATTGAACTTGCATAACAATATAGTTTCATATTCTATCACATGATTAATTATATCACATAATTAATTTAAGAAAAAAGATTTATGGCTTATTCTCCAATAAACATGCTAGAAAATCAAGACCAAAAGATTTAGACGTTCAAGCCCTCTTGCTATGTTTAAGCTCATCCTTATTTTCATTGTATGCACAAGAAAATGATATGCAATATTGCTATGAGCATAACCTATCAAATGTTTTATGTAACGATTCACTCCACCACATGGTATGATATTATCCGCTTTGGGCCCGAGCCAACATGATTTTATTCTTGAGTTTTATTCCAGAAGGCCTCATACCAATTGGAGATAACATTATCATATAAAAGCACTTCACATTTTCCTTCCCTAAGTGATGTGGGACTGTACACCTGTAGTTCGCCCAGTGTGGTAGCCTATCAGTGCCTCTTGCACTCGCCCACGGCACACTCACCCACAAGGTTGCCATATTTTAGGTCCTACTTTAACTTTCTTAGGAGTATGAACTGCAACCTTAGTTAGACACCCCCACACTTTTGAGAATTTATAGGAAGATATTCGACCTTTCCATAATTCATATGGTGTCACATTAGTTTAAGGTATTTTATTGAGAACATAATTTGCGGAAAACAAAACTTCCCGCTACAAATTCTGAGTTAAACCAGAATTTATCAATATAGCATTCATCATGATATTATGTTATGAACAAATATTAGCACAAGTGTTTTGATCTTTTTGCTAAGTTGATTCTGAACCTCATTTTTGTAATGTTTAAAACATTTCTAAGGTTTTATATTTGCTTCGTAGCAAATATACATAATAGTATCTTATGCAATCATTGATAAAACTAACGAAGTACCCTTTTCGATCTCTTTTTGATACAAATTTAAGATAATATAATATACTACATCATATTAAAAAATTAAAATAATTCAATCAATATTGAATTATATGAAAAATTCAATATTCTACTTATATAACATGCTTTAATTTCATATAATATTGAACACATTAATATTTAGCATATTATCATATAATAATGTATATAACATTATTTTATTATATCTCAATTATTAGTATAATCTCTACTTTTTATATCTGAAATAGAAGCATATAATAAATTCTACGCAAGGAACAGTCTGTCTTAAGATTGTTGGTAAATCTATGTTTCATGTGACATTTAAGATATAACGAATCTTATACTAATATGTCATGAGATAATTAACAATATGCTAACAAATCATTAATTAAATATGCCACTCTATATTTAATTAAATATGCAAAATAAAAAATAAAATAATAATAATAAATAAAGAACCTGGACCGAGGCTAGTATTTAATACTATGTCCTTAAGACAGATTCGCCCCGCTATGGTGCTAACGGACTCAGTGTCGTCTATCTCCTAGGATACAACGGTCTATATCCACCAGTAGCAGCACTACAAACTTGTAGATACAGCGAACCTTCTCCGTATAATACTCTCTTTGACTCAAAAATGCATCTATATACTATATAAATGCTGAATTGAGTGCAATCTGAACTGAATGGATCGGACCAATGTTAATATGGCTTGATGAAATTGGATTAGGGTCTAAGTGGTTCGGACCACTTAACCTATGGTTTGAACCCACTTGGGTTGGGTTCAAGTCTAGAGAGGGAGATAGAAGAAATTGAAAAATAAATGATTTGCAAATGATCTAAAGAGGGGTATTTATAGGTAACAAGGTGCCTTTTCAGATTAAGTGCAGCCCTTTGGAAAAAACTAAAAAGTAGTTTTTAATTAATGTGCCTTTTCGGATTGGGTGTGTCTTTTCATCATTGTACACAACCATTTATATGTGTCTCTTCACACTGGACACATCCACTCCAATTAGTTGAAATGGTTCATATGGTGTCTGTTCACCAATAGACACATCCGCTCCAATAGGTTGCAATGGTTCACATGGTGTCTGTTCACCAATAGACACATCCACTCCAATAGGTTACAATGGTTCACATGAATAGTTATGCCTGTTGGTTTTGAGTTGCAACCCTTTAGAAACAGATGCAAGTCTTTGAAAAACAGATGCAACCATTTAGAAATAGATGCAACCCTTTGGAAAAAAAAAAAAAAAAAAAAAAAAACTAACTTTTAATTTAAATTCAAAAACTAACCACCCATTTAAATAAGCCCAGCCCAAAATTAAAGGCCCAATCCAAGATTCTATTTAGTAAAAAGAATAATTGGACTTTACAATTAAGCCCAAGCCCAAATTTGGCTTATTTAAATTCAATTAGTTTCAACATTTTTTCCATGTGGGACTAACACTTCCCACATTTTGCATACACATTTAGGCTTATCAAAACACCACACTTTGAAACTAATTTCTCATTCACCCGGAAACGGATTTGAGAAAGTAAATATACCACGTTCATCTCCTTGCGGAGAGAAATGCGCTCGCTAGAGATCCGCAAAAAATTATTAGCGGAATTTATTCCAAACCTTATCCAAAATTTATGTTTCTAATGCCTCCGTTTCCAACAAGTTATTGTGGATAGTGTTAGATTTCGACTCTTCTCTATCAAAAAAATGCTCACGCCCCTCTGCTGAATCGATCGCAAAGGATTGGAATCTCCCCTTCTTTTTTGAACCGGCCCACCATAACCCATTATTTTCCTTCTCCTAGCCATTGCGAAACTTTTAGATTTCATTGATATTCAAATCTCTTATCTACGGTTGGTGCCAATTCAAAATTTGGGTCATATGGGCCTGGTTTATTGGGTAGTACTCTTTGTTTTCTTCTTATTCCTTTTGGGTTTGAAATTGTTTTATGGTAGGTTGTAGTTTTGGCCTGCTCTGTGCAATGGGGTATGCCCCATTGTTTCTGTCATTTTTCTTTTAATTATATAATACATAAACTTACTTAACAAAAAAAATAAAATTATAAATATATTAAGAAAAATGATATGAGAATCAAATCAAACAACCGAATGAGAGGCCGAGCTTAACTTGGCTCGGCCACGTCAAATTATTTCCTAAAAGTATAAATTCGTTTCTCTCTCCTCGCTTTCGCTAATTCTTGGTTTTTCTTCTCTATTCAATCTTATCTCAATCGATTCTGGTTTTGTCTTTTTCTTTTTGATTTTGCAAAATTGAAAATGAAAAAAAATTAAAATTTCTTCATGTTTTGCCAATACAAAAGGCACAAAACCAAAAAAAAAGAAAAAAAAAAAAAGAAAAAAGAAAGAAAAAAAAGCTACAACTATTGTTTCTGTCCTTCAATTTTTGTATCCATGAAAATCAAACAGAAACTTTGAAAAGATTCACTTGTTTCTCTTCACTCTATCAGTTTTTTTTTTTTTCCTTCTTCTTCTCTAAATATATTTTCATTTGGTAAGAGATTAATGTGTCTTGTAATGATAACTTTTGTGCATATTTACTTATCGTTAAAAAAAATAAATAAATAAATAAAAAATAAACTTTTGCATATTTTTCATCTAGGACTAGAAAGATTTCTGAATCAGAATTCTAAATGACAAGAAGAGAAGAGTATGTGATCTTTAAAAAAAAAGTGAGGATAAGAAGATATTTATATTCGTTCCCTCGTTTGGAGGTATAATCTTACATGAATTTTGGGTCTTCTCTCTAGAATACTCTAGATATGTGTATACGTTCTATCCAAACGCTTGGATCCAGTCTCAGACAATAATTAATCTCTTGGGGTTTATTATAAAGGAGAAATTTGACAACTAGATATCGAGAGAAAAGATAGATAAGAAGAATTGATGAAGAATAGGAGGGAGAAATGAAGAAGAAGATAGAGAAAAAGGAGTTAGTGCGTAATGAAATTGTCTAATATGTCTTACGCGTAATGAAATTGTCTGGGCCACGTCAGGTTCAATGCTTTCTTCGATAGAAACCTTCGATTTCTCTATCATTGGTCATATATTAATGATCAATTAATATTGAAATTTTCATATTTTTTATTTTAGGTAATTTTTTGACATAATCAATGTTAATGTCTAAATTTTCAGCTTCACTTAGGGATGACAAAAATTCCCACCCCGGTGGAGCCCGTTTGGGAGTGATTTTGGAGAACCGACTATGTAAATGGGGACGGGTTTTGGAGAATGGTTGCCCCGCCCTAAATATATTATAAATTTATTAAATTTCCCTCACATACTATTATATATTGTTAAAATAGGTTAACTATATATATTAGGGTTGACAAAAAATTTCATGAAACGGAACGATTTCAAACAGATTTTTGGGCGGGAATGGAAATTTGGAATGAGATTCATCTCTAGTGTAACGGGTGGGCGCTTACTTATTTACCTAAAAGCTCAAACTGTTGGGTAATACTACATATCCACCTATTTATATTCAATCACTTTCCCATCTGAATCTGATGTGGGACAAATGACCCTTGTTACATTCTCCCCCATCCAAATTCGTAATGTTTTCATTGCGGTTGGGCCACCCTTCCTATCCGGAGTGGCTCACCCGAACGCCTTCCGAGCCGGATGTTTAGCGTGGCATCGTATCAAAGATTGGATCTGACTCTGATACCAACTGTAACAAGTAGACGCTTGTCCATTTACCTAAAAACTCAAGCTGTTAGGTAATGCAACATACCCACCTATTTATACCCAATCACTTTATCATCCGAATTTGACGTGGGATAAATGATCCTTGTTATAAGTAAATATAATACTGTGTTAACTCAACATGAATATATTTATAAATATATTCTAATTTATTATATAGTTTGACACATTTAGTCTTAAATATTTTATTTTATTTTATTTTGATTGCCTTCATAAAAAATATATATATATCTATAACTATAAATTTATAATCGTGCGTAAAAAGATCTTTCTTCCATGTTCGTGAGAGGAGACGTGAATGTAATTTTGGCTGCGAAGGGAAATATTTGCACGTATTTCTTGCATTTCCACTCAGTTATATATTATTTATCACTCTCTCTGTGTGTCTCTCTCTCTCTTAAAAGCTTCAAAAGCCTCCGAATCAGTCCGAGTTGAACCATCGGCATTCCATTTCACTTATTCCTAGGGTTTCATCAATGGCCGAAGTAATGAACATGCCGGTCGATTCTCTCGACCGTCGGCGAGATCGCCCCTCCGACCGAAGAGACAAGTCGAACGAGGACACCGAATCATCGCCGCCTCCTCCGCCGCCTCCACCACCCAGGAGACGAGAGAGAGATTCTAGAGAGAGAAGAGACGATAGGGACCTTGACCGCCCGCCAAACCGTCGCGGGGACTACTACGATCGGAACCGGTCACCGCCGCCCAGGGAGAGGGATTACAAGCGGCGATTGAGCCCTAGCCCTCCTCCCCCTTACCGCGGACGGCACTCTCCTCCTCGGCGGTCGCCTCCGCTCCCGCCGTTTAAGAGGTCGCGAAGGGACGATTATGACGGGCGGCGCGGAAGCCCTAGAGGAGGATACGGACCCGGAGATAGAAGGTCAGTGAATAATTATATATTAAAATATGCGTTTACATACATGCAATTACACATGTATGTATGTATATATATATATATATATATATAATTCTACATTATTTACATATTCTTTTGTTTATATCGAGTAGTATCACGGTTTAGATTGATTGATAAATGTTAGGTTAGAAGGTGAATCTGCCTTTAGGAATTGTTTTCGTGATTGATTGCTGTGAAGCTGTTTTGCTTGCGAATGGAGAATGAACAGTAGTAATAACCTGGAAGTTGGAAGGTGAAGACTGCTTAGGGTAGTTTAAAGTTTAGCTTTATGGGGTGCATATTGGTTGTAGAGAGAATACTGGAAAGTGCTGATGGATTGCATAACCAGATTTCTTATGGGTGTTCTGGGGAAACTTCTGCCACACTTTGATGTGGTACTGATTATGATAGGTTTGTTCCTTTAGGATTCTGGAGATGTTTGACTACTACCTCTGCTCTCTCTCACAATAACATGTTATGCTATTCTATGCTTCCCATCATTTATGGAGTAATATGGTTAGATAATGACCAATCAAACCATGTTCTTATATTGATACCAGATAGACAACAAAAAGTTAATTGCTTTCTGGACTTTACCTTATGCACATGGTTTGCGTGTGATTGCACCAAATGGGTTAGGATCTCTATTCACATGCAATTTATTCTTGAGTTCTGACTGTAGGGAAATGGGATCTTGATGGAATATCACTTAATGGCTGAATTACTGGGGTAATTACTGAAGTTTTACCATTTTTTTTCATTCATTTTATGCACTTGATTATTATATTAAATCATATTAAGAAGCATGACTGATTACTGTCTTCGGCAATGGTCTATTCTCGAAGCAATCTGAACATTAGAATGGTTTTGTTGCAATCATTTGAGCTAGTGATACTAAAATTTTCTGAATGTTGGTGATAAGAATTGCAAACACAACTTTAAATTTGAGTTCAGGATATTATGAGAACTAGTATTTCATTTTTTTTGATAAGTAAGATTGTAATAAAAAGCCTTCAAAAGGGGAACACATCCCTCAAAACCTACACAAGGTCAAATAGGGCCTCTATACTCTCAAAGAGTCCAAAAAATCAACAATCTCCCCCATGAATTTACAATTTATCTCTAAAACCCAACAAAAAAGAGTGCTAATAATGGATAACTTCAACGCTCTAATAGGAGTCTCCTTTCCTTCAAAGGATCTCCTATTTTAGTTTTATTTCTTCATCTTCTTCTTCCTCTGTTTGATTGAAGCTGAGACTTTTTTTTTTTTTTTTTTTTTTTCTCCCTTTCTTCTCTCGCTAATGGTCTTGAATCATTGACCTAGAGTTTGAAAGTTAAATCCACTAGGACAATGGTTGACCAATGAAACTGAGACTATCTTAGATAGGAAATTACATTATGCTTGAGTTTTGTGTGGCAGCATTTGGATGTCCCTTGTTGCCAAAAGTAGTAGAATGAAAGAATGAGATAATAGTATCTCAAATTGGTCTCTATTTGTGGGATGAAGTTGGTCTTCTGAAATCTTTGTAAGCTCGAATATGTTGTTGTGTGTACACTGAGGATGATTATAGTTGCATAAATCGGTTGACGTGTTGAATATGTTAGTTGCATAATGGGATTTAAGATTTGCTGTGTTAGTAAGGTCATATTAAGGGCATGGTTTATTCTCTCTCTCTCTCTCTCTCTCTCTCTCTCTCTCTCTCTAATAAGTAAGAGACATGTCTATTAATGAGAATGATTTTGTTGCAATTATTTGAGTTAGTAATAATTAAATTTTCTGAATTGCAAACACGACTTAAAATTTGAGTTCAAGAAATTGTGAGACTTTTGAAGGAAAGGAGACTCCTATTGGGACTGTTAAGTTCTCTATTATTAGCACCCTCTTTGTTGGGTTCTAGGGAAAAATTGTAAATCTATGGAGGAAATTGTTGATATTTTGGGCTATTTGAGTGTTTAGAGACGCCATTTGGTCTTGTGTTTCTTTTGTGGGATGCATTCCCCTTTTGGGTGCTTTAATACAATCTTGTCAAAAAGAAAGAAGAAGATATTGTAAGAACTATAGGGCCTGTTTAGTTCAGTTTCCTGTTCTCGAGAGTTCAGAAAACAGAAAGCAGTTTTAGGACAACTATAAAAGATGGTTCTTTGAAAAAAGGCATTTTTTTTAACTAAGTTTTTAGAAAATGTCAACCATACACAACAACAAAAAACTGAACCAAACATGTAGTATTTCCTTTCTTTCTTTGTTTGATTGACACTGAGACTTGTTAGATGGGGAAAGTACATCATGCTTGAGTTTTTTCTGGCAGCATCTGGATGTCCTTTCATTGCTATAAGTAGTAGAATGAATGATTGACGTAATAGTATTTCATATTGTTCCCCATTTTTAGGGTACTGTTAGTCTTGATCTTTAGAAGCTCGAAGATATTGTTATGTTATAGTTGCATAAATTGGGTGCTAGGTCGATTCTGTGTTTTTTGGGATTTAAGATTTGCTGTTTTTGTAAGGACTATCAGTATAAAAACAAGTTTATATATAAGAAAGTGAATCTGAAGTTAAAATCTAATATTAGTTCTGCTAAGTTGAGTGCTATCACCTAAGGTGTTCTGCAGTCATTATTTAGACTTCCAATAAATCATACATTATATTGAATTTTAGTTGTACCTCAATTTTACCACTAATTCATATAGATAGCTTGATTGATCCTTTACGTTCTTCCCATCTTTTATTTTTTCCCTTCTCCTCCTCCCCACCCTTCTCTCACCTGTTATGCATGGTTTGCTCTCTCGTGTACCACCAAAGATATAATAACAGCATATCTTACCTCACATCCATCCTTAGTTTGGCAGAGTAAGTAGTAGTATCGATGTCAAGTGAAAAATGAATTTTTTTTTTTTGTTAACAAACTTGACTGTTAATAGGCGAACCCCTCCAGTTTTGGTCAAGGCCTTATTAAAAAATAAACAGTCTTACTAAGGAAACATACATGGAAATTTCAGGATTATAATGATGTTAAAGTTGTAGAACCCTCGTAATCGTTTTGCAATTGCATGAGCATACTTATTAAGTTTCCGGGATAATCATTCAGACAAGTGCTTCCTCTTTTGGTTATCTACTTAAAGCCTCTTGGACCTGCAAGTCTGCAAGGAATGAAACCGTTTATATTTTATTGATGACCAATTACTTTATACTTCATTTTCTCTTCGTCAATACTTTTTGAAGACATTTTTTACATATATAAACATATGGAGGTGCATGCTCATATGGTCATGTTTTCGGATTTATAGTTGTGGGTGTTACTTTACAATTGAAGTTGTAAATTGTAATATGTATTGGAAACGTTAAGCTTTTGATTCTATGTCCATGTTTTCTTGTGAATTTCATTATTTGTCTAAGCATTTTTATTTGTCTAATGTCTTAGTTAAATTGAGCTGTTGAGATAGTATGGTAGATTTACTTATCAAAAAAGAAAAGAAAAAGGAAGATAGTATGGTAGATTTGTTGTAGGTGCTGCCTTTATATAAGCATGTTTTACATAGACTTGGTAAATTTTTAGTTCATTTTCGTTATCTATATGTATTGGTTACATTAAGCTTTTGATTTATGACTATGTTTTCTTGTGAATTTCATTATTTGGTTAAGCATTTTTAATTTGTCTAACGTCTTAGTTAAATTGAGCTGTTGAGATAGTAATCATAGTATGGCAGATTTGTTGTAGGTGCTGGCTTTATATAAGCATGTTTTAGATGAAATTGGTAGATTTTTAATAGCATTTTTAAACTAAAGGGTGGACTAAATGGACAATGAGAAATCAGAGGTTTAAAGTTTGTGGTTTCACAACGGCCGTCATTTTTTTTTTTTTTTTTTTTTTTCACGTCTTCATGTTTACTGTGGCCACTTCTAGTCAAAGATTATGTGGAATTCTATTGTAAATTTTCAGTTCACAGTTGGACAATAGTACTTTAAATGTGTAATGACTTGTTCATGTAGTATTTGTTCCTACGTGAAATTTATATTGGAACACATAAATTCTGTTTTCTTTTTGAAGAAAAGAAAGGAAATATTTCGTGTGGAAGGTGATGTCTGCCCCAAAAGCAACTTTTCTTTTTTTGTCCCACCATTGGACTTTTTTTTTCCATTTTATTGGTTAGACTAGAAGAGCTGCTTTGGACATCTAGTAGGTTTATTTATTTATTTATTTTTTTAAATTCACATTATTTGTAGTTTTGCAATAGATTCTCCACTTTCTCTTTTTTACCTTATACCTACGTCTACTGTCACTTGAATCCTTATTATTAGAGATGTTTTAACTTTGGCAGTACACCTAGTATACATTACTCAGCTGTCAACATGTTTGATTGTATAGGTTTGGATATGATTATCCAGGCGGGTATGAACGTGAGATGGGGGGCAGGCCTGGTTTCGTGGATGAAAGGCCTCATGGTCGGTACATTGGCCGCTCAGGTGGTTATCAAAGTGGCCCATCTGGTAATGCTGGAGTTTTGCTTTGAACATGAATCTCTATTAAATATAACTTAGCTTTGGGGCTGTTCTTAGTGTTGTGGCATAAATGTTTTATTTAATTTGTATCTGTAGCATGTGAATATAAAAGCTCTTGTGATGTGCTTTCCATAGTAAATGTCAAATAGTTATTTTAAATTTGGAAGACATAACTTGCATTTGAGCCTCAGATGTCAATCATGGTTTTGAACCTTGTGCTATCTAGTTTTTTTTTTTTTTGGTAGAATTTTTTTCTTTGAAAATTTCACTATCTAATCTGACATGGTTCAAATTGATGGTCTTTTTTCTTGATCATCCCATCATAAAATTTTTCAAAGTACATAATGAAGGGGTGAACTATTTGTTGGTTAGTCCATGATTCATCTTTCCTTATATGTAATAAGTTGGGTGTTTGAGATTGGCAGAATATTTGGTTCTAGTTTTCTTTGTCTATGCCATATTTAAATCTACTGGAAACTTAATGAACTCAGTTTATATTTTCAATGCACATACAAATTTCCTTCTCAAATTGTTATGTCCTAAATTTCAGATTTCTAATTGGATGTGAATTCATTAACAGTGTGTATGGACCTGTAGCGTTGGAAATTTGCAGCCTTCTAGTTGAATATGAATGCATTAAATGATGTCTCTTGGCAAGTTAATTTTTTTTTCTTAGATGAACCAACAATTTAGGGTGGAGGAAAATATTTATAAAGAAAACGTAGTTAAAAGGGTGTATAATGAATTCAAAATGAACACATCCTTGTCTCTGTCTTCGGCCTTTGATCGCGAAAGCTATACAAAGGCTGAAGACAGAGACAAGGTCCTAAGGACCCACCGGAGCCCAAAAATCAATAAACTCCTCAATAGATATACAATTTCTCCCCAAAACCCAACTAAAAAGAGAGCTAATAATATGGAACTTTAAAGCCCCCAGGGAAGATTCCTCCCCATCAAAAGATCTTCTGTTCCGCTCCTTCCATGAGCACCACACACAAAGGGGAACAGCCCTCCAACACTCACAGGTGTGGGCCCCACATTGCAACCTCTTCAAGCGTCAATCAAATCCCTCGAAGACTGAGGTATAACCCATTGGATGCCGAATATTCCAAAAATAAGGCTCCAACAGGCGTGGGCCACAGGGCAATGCAAAAGAAGGTGATCCACGGACTCGCCATTCCTCTTGCACAGACAGCACCAATTGACTGTAATCTGTCATCTCTTTCTCAAATTATCCAGAGTCAAAATCTTGCCCCAAATATATTCAACAACCAGCACCACCACCACCACCACGACGAAGCCTTTTTCCAATTACTTGGGGTCGGCTACATGAATCCCATGAATCCATTCCGCTTTATTTAAGGTCATAGGTCTCTGTTAATTCACATGCTATGATATCTGTATTTCCTAACTCTACCCAAGTTAATTTTGGTCATTTGAAATATATATTGTATTATCATAAAATTTGAGAATGAAGTAATAGGCACAATTAAGTAGCAAACCATAATAAGTTCATGAATTCCAGCAAATATACAATAAGATTAAACAATACGATCCATTGAATATGAAAGCACGGGCTTGAGTGCTTACACAAGTCTAATGAAGGGGCCTGGTCTATGTGGTAGATTGAGGTGCTTTGGTAACCCTCGATGAGCCCGGATCTTTTTTGGAGCGTAGGTTCACCTTTAACAACTATATTTATGGTGGTTGTCTTTTTTAATAATTTTTTATTATCCATGACAATGTTGGCTAGTGGTCAAAAATATTTGTCCACTAATTTTAGCTTAGCAACGTACCTTATGGTATGTCGATAACTTCTAAAAGCTTTCTTATGATAGTTAATCTGGAGCATGTCGGGTATTATCTGTTTTGCAGATTGGGATTCAGGTCGTGGTGGCTACAATGATGCTTCCAATACAGGGAGTTCTCAAAGGTAAGCATTTTTAGCTTCTCTTTGTTTCAATGGGTTCATTTGATGTTTGTTCTTTTGCTAAAGATCCAGCTTTCTTTGGGACCAAGTCACAACAATGATTAAATTAATAAATCTTTATTGAATTGTCAAGCAATTGTCTGCTTATGTGTTGTAACTATGCATAAGTTTTCGTGCTTCACCAATTCTAATATTTCTTTAACCTGTGACTATCCTATCAGAGGGAGTCTTTTAACTCTTGATATGCTACAATTGCATTAGGATCACTGTATAGTATCTAGTGCCAGAGTGGATCTTTTATCTTGATTTTCAATTACTTCAGTTGGCTGTAGGGCTGAAAATAATCAGATTGCAAACTATGCAACAAGTTACAAGTTCTGGGTATCACATTGGAAATATTATCTTATAATAGACATTCTGATTATTTATAACCGTTGACTGTGTTTGGAGACAAATTGATTCTTTCACATTTTGATATGCTTTTTTGTTGTCTCTGTAGTCTGATTTTTGTTGTCAGGATCAATAATTGATCAAGATAATCTTGATTAAACAAATTTTACAAAATAAATTCATAACATCACGTGTGCAGTAGATAAATGTGCTTTTAAGAAATGACATGGGTTTTTTAATGTGGTTAATATGAGGGTATGGTGATCTTGGACTTTTAATGGGAACGATAACGGGGTGGGTAAATTTAAATAAGCATGTAGTGAGGAATTATATGAAAAATGTATTATGATGATTGCATATTATGTTTGGTAAAGCATGCTGAAAATGTTTCTTAACATGATACGGTTATTCATATGAACAATTGAATTTTGTAATGTAGTTGAGATTGGAATTTTATGATTATTCCTTTATTGTGGTTCTAGCTGAGAGTTGCTTGTATGAATAATCTTTCATATCCAAAATAAGGCAAGTTTGGGCATAGTTAAAGTTCCTGTCATAAATTCAACATTCCTGATAATATGCTATTTGATTTTGAAATTTAAACCTCCGTCAAAAGCTTCAGTGAGCATGTTAACATGAGCTACATCACTGCACATAGAACTTTTGGTGTATTTTATTATTTTTGCTTATGTTTACTGAAGCATATACAATCTTGAATTTGCTATGTTTTTTTGAGTTACTCAATTTTGTTTCGTATTGGAACTATGTACGCAGCAATTTATGTCTGTCTGCTCTCTTGTGGTCTAGATGAGTGTTTGTATTAAGTATCAACGATTTTGCACACTATGGCGATTCATGGAGATTGGAATGACATATTTTTGCTAAGGCATGGGATTGGAATGATAATAATAAGAAATAAAAAAAAAAAAAAGCAAAGACGAGTATTGGTTCCAAGATTGGAATGATATATTTTTGTCAGGGCACCAAAATTGGATGATAATAATCAGAAAGGGAAAAAAAATAGGAAAAAGAAAAGAAAAGACTATGTTTCCTGCAGTATGATATTTATCTGATCCATGTCGCTAGCGATCAGCTGTTACTGTATTTGCATGCCTATTTTTTGCTGCTTTTGTTGTTGTTATGTCTCTTATAAGAGTCTGCTGTGTTGGACTGTTGGAGCTTTGCCTGACAATAATTGACATGAAATATTTTATTTTACAGAGAAGGTTTGATGTCTTATAAGCAGTTCATTCAGGAGCTTGAGGATGATATTCTACCGGCCGAAGCCGAGCGCAGGTACAAGGAAATGTTTTAATAGATTTGAATATAAGTCCAACTTCTTTAACTTCTTTAACCACTTTTTTTTTTTTTTTTTTTTTTTTTTTTTTCTTCTCTCTGAATTGGTTTTTTTGAATAACCGAGTGGTTTGGCCTTTTCATCTTTACAGATATCAAGAATACAAATCAGAGTATATATCAACTCAGAAACGGACTTTTTTTAATACTCATAAAGATGAAGAATGGTATATTTCATGTTTTCTTTAAGTTTCTTTCTTTCTTTTCTTTTGTATTATTTTCTTTTTTGGGTATTATCGTGTTATCACATCTTTTTTGTTGATCTTGCTTGTTTATCTAGGTTGAAGGACAAATATCACCCAACAAATTTACTTGCTGTTATTGAAAGGTGCACGCTATTTGTATTAAAGATGGTAGTTGCAAAACTTATAATCAAGCCAAAAGAATTTAATGGCATCGTAACTTATGTGGATGATATTTTTTATTGTTTGTGTCGCCAACTGTTATGCTTCTGTTCTGTGATTTTTAGTGAATAACTTTTGCTTGTATTAAAGTATATTCTCATCTCTTTCAAAGGAGGAATGAGCTTGCACGAAAGATGGCAAAGGATTTTCTGCTTGATTTGCAGAGTGGAACGTTGGATCTGTAAGATATGCCCTTTCATCACTGTATTCTTTTACATCAAGAGCACACAACCAACTTATGTTTTATGAATACGTTACCAGTAACTTCTCTGTACATGAAGCAGAGGTCCTGCTGTCAATGCCTCATCTTCAAACAAATCAGGACAAACAAGTGATCCTAACTCTGATGATGAAGTAGATGTGGCTGGCAAAAGAAGACGTCACGGTAGGGTGCTGGCTAAAGAAACTGATCTTTCAGCTGCTCCCAAGGCTCACCCAGTCAGTTCTGAGCTCAGACGAATCCAGATTGATATTGAACAAGCACAGGTGCTTGCAAGGAAACTTGACTCTGAAAAAGGAATTGAGGATAATATATTATGCAGGGTTGACAGTGACAGAATGAATAGAGACAAACCTCATGTTGGTTCCTCAGGCCCAGTTATTATTATTCGGGGTTTAACTTCTGTCAAAGGACTAGAGGGCATTGAGCTACTGGATACACTCATTACTTATCTTTGGCGCATTCATGGGCTGGATTATTATGGTATGCTTGAAACAAGTGAAGCTAAGGGGCTTCGACATGTGAGAGTGGATGGCAAGAGTTCTGATGCAAGTAGTAGTGGGGCTGACTGGGAAAAGAAACTTGATTTGCGTTGGCAAGAGAGATTGAAAGGTCAGGATCCCTTGGAAATGATGACTGCTAAGGAGAAGATAGATGCGGTTGCTGCTGAATCTTTAGATCCTTATGTCCGGAAAATCAGGGATGAGAAATATGGGTGGAAGTATGGATGTGGAGCCAAGGGTTGCACAAAGCTATTCCATGCTGCTGAGTTTGTACATAAGCATTTAAAGCTGAAGCACCCAGAGCTCGTGATGGAGCTAACTTCTAAAGTGCGTGAAGATCTGTATTTCCAGAACTACATGAAGTACGTAGCTTTTCTGATAATATTTTTGTACCCTTGTATGCTCATCACAGAGATACAGCAATAACTACTCTAATATCATTGCAGAGATGCAGATGCACCTGGTGGGACTCCTGTCATGCAGCAATCTGTACCGGTATGATTCATCTTACCATAAAATAGATAATTCACATACATGGGTGGTTATCCTATGTTACTTTGTATTGACATTTGGCATTTCTCCTTGTGAACAAAATGTTGCATGATACCCTTATATGCTCATCACTGGCATTGGGAATTCAGGAAAAAAAGTGTGCCAGCTCGTATTTTAAAAGTTTCCTTTTCATGAATAAGTAGCCAAGAAAGTTGCCTAAAAAGTGTGCTACCAGTATTTTACTAGTTACTTGTGATGAAAATGCAGGATCCAGCACTTACTGAAAAAAGAAAATGCAGAATCTAGCATTTACCAGAAATAAGAAAACGCAGTAACCAGCTCAAAAGAAAGTAGCCAAGGAAGTTTACTAGTGTAGTGCATCCCAAGTAGGGATGCATCTTAGAGGGCCAATCCAAAATCAAACCTGAACAATTATTAACATTGTAAGGCACAGCATGGTTTGGAAAAGTTCCAAACCCAACTTAAATTTGGGTTGGGTCCATGCTGGGATATTGCTGGTGCAAACCTAACCCAAAGTTGCCTAATCTGATTATATATTACACACCTGAACTATTATTAACTTTGTAAGGTTATAGCTCATTTTTATTTTTATTTTTATTGTATTTGTAAGTAATCTGTAGTTTGAAGCAGAATAGTCCTTGTCTTTTTATCAAAACCAAACCCAAACCCAACCCAACCCAACCCAACGAAATTTCCAGCAGGACTTCCCAATCTAGCTCAACTTGGGGTCAAAGATATAAGCAATGATGGAGGTTAGGTTGGGTTGGAAGTTTCATACTTTGGAGTTGAGCCTGGGCTGTTAAACTAACTCCTCAACCCGCCTAATCTGCCCCTGTTGCACTAATTCCAAATAATTCTGAACTGCTGTGTGAGGTTGCATAACCCTTAATAGATCTTGAAGAATTAAATGTGATGTAACAACGGGCAGAGGAACTGGTGTACAACACAACAAAATTCCATGCATCAGTTGAACCATCCGATGCTGACTCTAAGTTGTTTTGGAGTCCAGCACTGAAAGAATAAGCGTTAGAAAGAAGTGCTGCCCTTCGACAATGAAACTCTTGAATCATTTTGGAAATCTCTGTCAAACCAATGATCTATGGATGCATCAGTTCAACCATCCGATGCTGACTCTAAGTTGTTTTGGAGTCCAGCACTGAAAGAATAAGCGTTAGAAAGAAGTGCTGCCCTTCGACATTGAAACTCTTGAATCATTTTGGAAATCTCTGTCAAACCAATGATCTATGGATGTGTCACACCTTGATATGGATGCTGGGTTTCAGAATACAGCCACTTCTTAAATTCTTGACTTGCCGTGTGGCTTGTTATCCTTGTGTTTGTAATGTTTTATGCGGTATCTTTGGCTATGCATGTTAAAGATTCTGAGAGAGTTGTTTTAGATTGTCAGGTTAAAATACGGTGCCTGAAGATACTAATTCATTGCCAGTGATTTTATCTATTTAACATATCTTGGTCAAGTTATTTTCATGTAACTCCTTGGTTGAGGTACTATGACAAAAGTTTGTTATATTGTCACTTTTTATGTACAGAAGTTGCTCAACCAAGAGATGCACATCCTCAGTTTTTTCTTTTATAGTTTCTATAATTTATTAATTATTATCGTTATTGTCGTCATTATGATTTTAAACACATTTTGTAGAAGGAGAAACCACAGAGGCGTAGGCTAGGTGTGGATAACCGGTTGAAAGATGAACGAGGAAGTCGTAGAGAACGTGACAATCGAGTTAATGGCAATGAAAGATTCGATAGATCCGAGAACCCTCAGCCAATTGAGTTCCAGTCCAATGATGGTCCAGCTGGGGGCAATCCTGATGAACCAATGTTCGATACTTTTGGTGGTCAAGGCATACATGTTGGTCCTCCTTTCTCTTCTGATATTCCTCCACCTCCTGTACTGATGCCTGTACCTGGTGCTGGGTATGTTCAGTTTGTTTTTCTGGTCATTTTTCTGATTGCTGTTGGTAGCCTCTTTTGCTATACTCATTAGAAACCTATATATATGTTGGTCATTATTTTCAGTCCACTGGGGCCTTTTGTCCCTGCTCCCCCTGAAGTTGCAATGCAGATGCTGCGAGAGCAGGGTGGACCTTCCCCTTTTGAAGGTGGTAGTAGAAACGGGCGGTCTGGGCCCCAGTTAAGTGGAGGAGCCCCAATTATTGCTCTGCCTCCAGCGTTTCGACAGGATCCTCGTCGTTTACGAAGGCAAGTTTTGTTCTGGACATAAAAGAACTAAAATTCAAGATAGTCTTTCTTTCTCTCTCTTTCTTTCAATTCTTTCAGTTCTTATTTATTTATTTTTGTTTGCATCAATTGGCTGGGCAATATTGATTTGAGTCTTTCCTATGTTTGAAGATGTTCATATCGTAGAATTGAGGGCAAAGTTAATCTGAATGTGTTTGCCCCTTCAAGCGTGGTTTAATTCAATGGAATTGCTTTTAGTGAGGAAAAGAAAATATTGATGGTCTCAAACAGTAACAATATGAAAGTGTGTAGGAGATCTATTGGTGGAGAAATAGGGATTACATAATTTTCAGCTTGAAAGAACATGCAGATTTCAGCTCATCAGCCAGAGAGAATGACGCTGATAATGTAAATTTTGCATAAGCTTGTTTCTTGAGATTAGGATACTGAATCTAATGTCTGTTGTTGAAGTTATTGTCAGATTAACTTGCTGTGAGCATATTTAGTAAGAGGTCCTTTAGCGTATGTTATTTGCATCTAACATTACGGATTGTCTTAGTTATGTGTAACAAGATGTTTGGTGAGACTTTCCATGCACATGCAGTTGCTAATGTTAGAGAAAGCTATTTTAGATAAAGAAAAGGGTAACAAGTGTTCTGTGAGGACATGAGGGGGATGAGGTTACCACATTGGAGTTTGATTCTAATTCTTCCAAATTTTGGGGGTGTTTTTTACTGGTGGAGTTGGAGTTTGGAAGTCACTAGCATCAATTTGCCATAATCTGTTTTTAGTGCTGGTGATGCACTCCATGTGCTTGGTACAAAACCAATTATGTGCTTCAATATAATTACCAAAATAATTACCACTTCATTAGTGCATCTGGTTTACTTAAAGTGTGATTGATGGAGGCAGAACCTGAGAAATGCAGGCTTTAAAGATTAGAAATGATAGAAGAGTCGGAAATATTGAAAAATGTAGGTACATGGGCCATGTAATACATGTAGCTTGTAATTTGCTGCCAAGTGGCTATAGATAAGTTGTGCCAAAGCAATATTCTCCCGTGGTTAAGGTTATATATCTCAAAGAGATGGGAATGGTATTATTTGCCCAACTCTTTATCTTTGTATTCATCATTCAACTTTTTAAGATAACTGACGATTGAGTTGCAAATTTTTAGCTGAGTTATGACAATGATGCTGATTCAGAAGTCATGACAGTTGAACTTGCACCTTATTATGAGGTTGAAAGGAATGTTGAAGTGACCTTATACTTAGGCCCAAACACCTCAAATGACACATGCCTTGTGGATTGCCTCATTGACATGTGGTGATATCTTTTGCACCATGGAGAAAAAACTTATCCGAGAAATATATCTTATATGTTGTCATTTCATTTTAAATGCCTGCTTAAATCAAGTTACTTAGTGCCTCAACTTCTGCTCTAAAAAAAGGATGTGTAAGGTGATCAATAATGATTGGCATTTTGAACCCTAGGCAAAATGCAGCTAAGAGAGAGACTTTACTCCCTCTATTCCATTCTAACTTCGTGAGCATGTGATATCTTCCTATTGGTTCGTGGTAGAGTTGGGCTAGTGACCGCTTCATATTTCAGATCGTCTCACTGTCCTAGCCACACCATCCTCTGGTCCTCAGTCAGTGCCATCTTAGTCCTTACCTGATTGCTCATCATCATCTTTCCAACAAGATTTGCCCAACGGACATTCAGATCCTACAGCGACCGTGTAGGTTGCTGTTTGCAGCTCGGCTTGTCATTATTTTGGAGGGTCTTCGTTCAAGGGATTCCAGCCCAAAGCTCCTGCAGCCGAAGGTGAGGTGCTTATGTAGTTTTCATGAGAACTGTCTCGTCTTCTCTTGCCTATAAACAGACCTGGAGTCACTTTCTGGAGGAATCCCAATATCCAACACACCTTGAAAAATTCTCTTCATTCCCTTAATGAGACACTAGGATATCTTTAATGTCTTCTATGACCTCTCTCTCTGTGAAATTGCTTCAGTCTCCACCCAAGTCACTGGCAGTGTTATTAAAGGCGCACCAAGGCGCACCAAGGCGCTAGAGGTCCTTTGGAGCCTAGGCGCGCGCCTGAGTGAAGTGAGGCGCACAATTGAAAATTTAAACTACCATAAAAACATTCATATCTCATAAGTCATATCAATACTTTAAAAATTAATATCAAATATAAAAAAAGAAAATCCATCAACTGAACATGCATCCAACAATCATAAAATAGAGCACAAATTTGTTTTCTTGAAAGGCAAAGCAGGATTTGTTTTGGCAAAACAGAGCACAAAAAGAAATAAATCTGTTAACAAAAAAAACTGTTAACAAGAAAAGATAAACAGAGCCAAAAAAATAGACGTAGAAACAAAAGAAGTAAATGAAGAGAGAAAAGTAAGACGAGAAGAGAGAGAGAGTGTTAAAGAAAAAAAGGAGAAAAAAACGATCCCCCTCCTCCCGCCCCCAAAAAAAAAAAAGATAAGAGAGAAGAGAACTAGACGAAGAGAGAGATGTAAACAAAGATAAGAAGAGAGGAGTAGAAGAGATGAGAGACAAGTAGAGGAGAAGAGAGAGAAGAAAAAGAAAGAACTGATGTGGTTTTGTCGTTCGTCTCACGGTCTCACTCTTTCTCTGTTTGGTTGACACTAGACTTTTGGACTTTCTTATTTGTTTATTATTTTGAACAAAAGTTTCTTATCTCGTACGCTTGGGCTCTCTTATTTGTTTATTAAGTTGCCAAAAGTATCCTTTTTGGCTTAAGAAATAGTTTTTAAAAAACATCAGTGAGGCGCGCCCGACAAACAGGACGAGGCGCACTCGAGGCGCGTGCCTAGTAAACATTAGTGAGCTTGGGATGCGCCTTTAACAACACTGGTCACTTGAACTTTATTATTTTTCAAATAACCCTTCTCTCTTCTAATCATATTCTAGAATCCACAAAGGTTATATTGCTTGTAGAAATTAGTGGGATGGATGAAGTGTAGAAATGCTACTTATAAAAAAAATAAAAATAAAAATGAAGTGTAGAAGTGCTACTGAATTTTATGCGCTTGATGATTACTAGTTTTAATTACAGTAAGAATAAGGGTGACTTTTAGACTATCATAGGGCTCGAGTCCGCTTGACTATATTTTATTTTGGGGGAATGTGAGAAGTTTGGGACAATATTGTTATGGAATGAGCACTGCCATAGTGACGATATTGATATAAATCAATGGAGCACCCACTCTGTAAGTCCCAATGTAATGGCTTATTTGAAAAAAAGGCCTCCGGGGAAGATATCCAATGGAGACAGGTAGGGCCTGTAGCTCAGAAGATTAGAGCACTTAATTATGAACTATGATGTCGAGGATGGAATCCCTTCCTGAGGAAACTTGTCCAAAACTACCATACGTCATAAGGGGTTGAGGGATCCAAAGAGGAGGGGTTCTAGTTATGATCATGAAACGATTCTTGTATATACTTTCATAAAAATAAATGTACGAGTTCAAGAATTTTGCATATATAGGATGCATCTTATTTTCAAGATAGAAGACCTTTTTATATCTTCAACCCATTAGGAGTACCTTCACGGATGTAGATATTTGAATGTTCTTCATTCAGGTTAGAGGGGGTCTGATTGATAGACTATCAAATAGCATGTTTTGATGAGAGAGATGAACAAAAACTTAAAATAGTTAATAAATTTGTTTAGGGAGGGGTTATTGGTGTTTCCATCAATGGACGGGCCTGCAAGGATGTGGAAAAGCCAAAAGCATGTGTGGGTACAGTTATCTGGTATGGGTATGTTTCTAACCTTTCTGAAAGTCAAACCTTAGGATACCGTAAAAGTGTCAAAAAAGTTGGGTATGGGTTATTAAGCACATTCTATACATATGATTACATTATATGTTATGCATTATAATGTATGATGTGATTTGTACTTTAAATGGGGTGCAGTTCATAAACAGAGGTTCCGTCTATCTTACGGTAGGAAATTGTTGCTAATTATCTGATTTTAAATAGAAAATTTTCATTCATTCATACCTATAGTTACCTTGTAAATATATTCTTACACGCGTCGTTATATGTTACCTAATCTATCAAAGTTAGGATACTGAGGGATGATCTTGCCGTCGTCTTCATATTGCCATGATTATTGTTTTTATGTTTTAACATGCTTATATTTATTATGAGTTGCATAAAACTGCTTCCTGAATACAAAGTGTCCGTTAGTGGTCTCCGGTGAATTTGAAGTATCTTGTCGCTGTTGATTTGAAATATATTGCTTTAGGAAAGATTGAGAATATCTTGTTTTTCACAGCTTTGATCTTTTTAAACTTTTATACTTGTGGTCAAGATGCATGAGTATATTTTATAGTGGCATGTGCTAAGTTGCATTTAACGACCATGCAGCTATCAAGACCTTGACGCACCAGACGATGAAGTAACTGTGATAGACTACAGGAGTCTCTAGTTTTTAACATTGGTGGTGCGTAACATAGCATCAGATGCTTCTCTCTGGAAGGAAAAACTGCTGTTTCGGTCGGAGGTCAACTGCTTTAATACTGCAACATTTAAGATCTGCTTCCAATTCTGCTGTTCATAAATGCTTCTTCGGTTTCTTGTATTTCAGGCATGGCAAATGTGTTAGTAACCCGAACATTCCTGATATATTTTTCTCCTCCTCGCTTTAGCAGGTGGTAACTTTCCATCAAATATGAAATTTGGAGTGCTGTAAAATTGACCCAGACATGAGTTTTCAGATATTTATCTATTTTTTCCCAACTAGATATTCATAAATTCAGTGAAAAGAGCTACTTTGATAATTTTACCACTTGGTAATAGTGAAAAGGGTGTTTCTGTATGGATGCACCGGCACTTGGTGGCTTATTTTAGGGAGAACGAACATTCTTTCCGAGTTTTAAGCCTGAACTAGAAAGGCGGTGGTGGTGGGTCCCACAGCATTTCAAGTTGTGGCTTCAGTTTTATCCTGTTGGCTCAGTTTGTTTTTTTGGCTCAGTTTGTTGTTTGAACATAAAATATTTTTTAGAAAATAATTTTTTTTATTTATATTTTTTGGTGTTTGGTTGTCCGTTTGTTGTTTGAATGTAAAATATTTTTTAGAAAATAATTTTTTTTCTATATTTTACGAAGAAAAAAAATATTAAAATTTAGTAAAAATAATTTATTTATAAATTTTTGGTAAGTTATTTTATATGTTCTGTCCGATAAATTTGACTTTAATTTTGACGTAGATTTATAAAGTAAAAATAAAAGAATATTTTATTTTAAAAATATATATATTTTAATAAAAATATTTTACGTCTAATCATAGCACACTCGGTGCCTAATTTTAGGCAACGATGAACAGAAGCCCAAATAGAATAAGTCATTTTACCCAGTAAATCAATGAAACCAAGTAGTCAAGCTGAGGAATTGAGTAAATTAGTTAAAAAATACATATTGATTGTCAATCATTTTATTCCTAGAAAAGTACGGATTATTGTTTGACACTAAGAAATAGGCGGTATAAAACAGGACCAGAATCAAATCCTATTGCGTAGTACAATCATTTGTCCCATTTGAAAGAAGTGGCTGGAAATGTGCCACCTCAATTAAAAAACTAATTTTTTACCAACTCTTTAAATATTGTATTATATATATATATTAACTTTAAATATTATTTCTAAAATACGTTTTCTCTCTCTAAAAGTTACGGTTGTCTTCCTTTCCTCTCTAAAAGGAAAGAAAGAAGGTGAAGAAGAGGAAGACGGCAATGAGGTGAAGGAGTGAAGAATGGGATCAAAGGTTTGAGGTGAAGAAGAAGAAGGGAAAAAGGAAGGTTTGAGGGTTAGGGTTTGAATTTCGAATAAACGAAGATGAAGAAGAAAGGAAAGGAAAACAAAGAAGAAGGGAAGAAGGTCTGAAGCTAGATTGGAAAAGTCCTTAGGAAAATGTTAGAATTCACCGTAAGAAAATGTTGGGATGCACCAGAATGGCAGTGAGGCGAAGGAGAAGAAGTGAAGAACGGCAGTATGAGGTGACGAAAAAGAAGGGAATAGTACGTACACCACCTTAGAAAAATGTTGGGATTCACTTTAGGAAAATATTGAGATTTACTTTAAGAAAATGTTGGAATGGACTTTACAAATAAGTTGGGATGTTTGTACGAAAATATTGGGATGTATTTAGGAAAATGTTGTGATGCACCACTTTACAGATACATTGGGATATATATTACAAAAATGTTTGGAAATTGTTGTGCTGTAGCAAATAAGGATAATTTGGGATACAGGTATAAGTTTCATATTTTATTTTCAAGAAAATCCTCTTATTTACATAAGAATGGCAGAAACAAAGAAATCATACGCTTCGATTTGGAGAAGTCTGATCTGACCTTCAATTTGGAAATAGAATTGCTTATTCTATTTCGAAATAAAGCCAGCATGAACAAAATCTATTTGGAAAGAAATCAAATTCTAAACTGTTTTGGGAGAGAAGCTGGTGGTGGGATTTTAATCAAAATCCATTTGGAAAGAAATCAAATTCTAAACTGGGTTGATATTTTGGGAGAGAAGAAGAAATAAGGGAATTTTAATCAAAATCCATTTGAAAAGAAATTAAATTCTAAACTGGGTTGATATTTTGGGAGAGAAGAAGAAATAAGGGAGAAAAAAAGAGTATATTTGAAGAGTGTTTACATATATATATATATATATATATACAAAAATTCTGTATAAAGCAAATATAATTTTTTACCCATTATGATAAGTACTATTCATTAACAAAAATGGAGCAAATGTTTACACTTTCCACCGTATAAAACCTAGGTATTAATCCCAAAAAAAAAAAAAAAAAAAAAATAGGTTTTTGGACGCGTGAGGTGAAAGTTATAAAGTCAAAGTTAAGTATTTTAAATTAATGGAATTTTATCCAAGTCTGTCCTAAACACGGAAATTTACTTGATATTATTTTTTGATTCCTAAACTGCCCATCTATTGTTGTTATGAAATTATTCTATTACCCCCGTCAACTTTACTAATTAACTTGTCCTTTCTCTCTCTTTTCACTCTTCCAGGAAACACCATTGAGTTTCATTACATATCACTCTCTCTCTCTCTTTGATTTTCATTACTTTTTCTTTTTATTTTTATTTCTTGAATGTGTCGATTTTATTCAACAAATAAAACAAATAAAGTACATAAAAAAAGACCCTAGAAATAGGACCAGATGAACATAAATAGGAAGAATAAAAAAAAGATAGAAGAAGATTGATTCAAATTGATATTTATTAGCTGGATCATAGTTAATTTCATGGATTCATCAGCGGATTTGAAGGCAACAGTTTCAGAAGCACATCCCGAGACAATGGACTTTCTTTCGTGCACTTGGTGGAACTTTGCAGTTGAAGCTTTCCAACCTGCAGAGTTACAAGATCCATCACTCCTCTCTCTCCATGATAACCTCATCATATTACCAAATTTGAGAAGCATCACACCAAATCTCCTCTCCCTCGTTACAGAGAGAGAGAGAGTAGTGAACCTGAGAAGTGTCGCCGGAGTGACTTGCCGGTGTTATCTAGTAATGGCCGGAGTTAGTGTTTGTTGGTAGCAGAATTTTCTCTTTTTCGGCTATGTCAAAGGCGAGGCAGAGCGAGGCGTCGACAATAAGAATCCCTAAAAGTGATAAAAGAGATTAAACTTTGTGGATAGGTAGTTGGATCATTTCACAATAATATGATGGCCAATGTACTGTAAATTTCCATGTCATGTCACGACTTTGATAAAATTTTATTAATTTGAAAAATGTCTTTTAACTCCATTATTTTGGGCTTTGACCTCAAAAATTCTATTTTTTTTGAAATAATCCCTAAAACTTACATATTTTTAACACAATTGCTTACCTGTGAAATGAGGAATGGCCGAGGCCAAGAATCTAAGGGCTGAAATTTTGCGTCAAAGAGACCTTCGACTGCAAGTAAAAGGATAAATTTGACTCTTCTTGAAACACTCCCCCATCAACCAAAGGTGTGAACCAGATGTAATTGAAGTTGGAGTTTTAGAATTGGAAGAGTTTATCTTTTAAATTCAAAGGTCATCGGAGAATGTCAAATGTTTATGAATACACATTTAAAGATGTACACGATTCGGTTTGGACCGATTTAAGAGTTTTTTTTTGAACTAAGCCAATTCTAAAAGATTTATAAAATTTGCAACCAGACCAAATCAAACCAAACCAAACCAAATCATTTGACCAAAGGAACCAAACCAAATCAAATCGTGAAAAAATGGTTTGATTCGGTTTAGTTCCACGGTTTTTTTATTTTTATTTTTATATTTTTTTTTATTGTTAGAAACTGAAGTAAATAGATTCAGAATTGGTAATAACCTAATACATCTAGAATTATTAATTCAACAACAAACAATCGGCCACAATTCAATTCAATCACTAAAAAAAAAAAATTATCTAACAAATTGATAAGTCCTAAAATAATTAAGAGTGAACCATATGATTGATAGTTGCTACAACCTTATAAGTGATTTGAATAGTAAGATTATATCATATTATATATACTTTATAATTTAATATATATAAATATATATATCTAACACATAACGGTTCGATTCGGTCTAGTCCAGTTTTAAAGGACCTCAAACCGTGACTAAAACGTATCTTTACGATTTTACAAATTTAGAACCATAACCAAACCAAACTATTAGCAAACCAAACAAAACTGTCCGGTCCAATTTGGTCTAGTTTGGATTTTCAATTTGACCGGATTTTTGTGCATCCCTGTGTAACACATCAGGGATGTCGAGATTGATATGAAATTTGATTGAGCCAATTGCCTAGTACTTGAGCTGTTGAGCAGCATCTTCTTGTGACGGTCCCATGTGCAACGCACGTGCGTCACAGCACTGTGTTTCTTTAGTACCATTAAAATTGATTGCAAAATTGACAAAATTACCCTTAAGAATCGAGAAATTACAAGACAATGTAATTGCTAGAGTGACAACCAAAACCGGTTCTATACATATACAACAATCCACTAAATACAGCTGAAATGGGAAATTGATATACACATCTTGAATGTCAGCAAAAGCAATGGACTAGTTCACTTCCACATGCCAATACCAATCCCCATCGGTGTGCATCAACGCATGTCCTGATGGCCAAAGATAATAAAACAAACACACAGCAGCTTGTCCGTGACAGGAATTTACGTGTGTCCCATTGGTGTGGAGGTCGCTTAAATAGATCAAAAGCTTTACCATTTCCTATAAAGAAAAACTATAAAAATGCATACAAAACAGTCTCTTCTTTTGGTGAGGCATCACACATCCCCACTGCTACAAGAAACGAGAATAGAATTTTTCGATGCCTAGGGATTCTTGGCTTTGATAAGTTACATGTACAAATATGCAGAAGCGCAAGGTTTGGTACCCAACTTACAAGACAAAACCAGTTGGAGCATCCCGACCCCCAACTCACTAGGAGAGGTGGCTGAATATTTAGTTAGCATAACCAAATACCATCCACGAAGGTGAAATTATCACAAACCTGGTTATTAAACATAGGGTACTGCCTCTATTTCCGTTGCTTTTTCGATGGTGTCTCTGATTGGGAGTCAGCCTGCCAATATTAAACTCCCACATATTAAGAAAAGAAAATCAAAATCTAGAAAATTTTATTAGAAATAATGCCCTAATTCCATCACACAATTCATGCAATTAAGATATGACAATAACCTAAAAATTCTTATTTTGATTGGTTGATCGAGATCTAGGATCCCAGCAGAGAAAATACTAATAGAGAAAACGACCATAGTCCATACTCCAACACAAGTAAGATTGTAACATGCTAGCACACGTTACTACTGCTTGGAATAAGTAGGATGAATAGCTCCAACATAGAAAGAAATTTGGAGGATGACAGTGTAGTCAGCTAAATTTACCTGTTTTAGCCCTTTTTTTTGGGTCAAAAATGGAAAACATAGAAAGAAATGTATCGATTTTTTGTGAATCATAGGGGACATTTGGGAAATAAAGATTTTTATTTTTATTCTCTCTCTAACTGGAATTTTATTAACAAACCAACAGGCCAAATAGAAAAGTTGTGATAACAAATTTGCGGGAAACAGGAAGGATCAGATCACACACATTCATGGGCAGGATAACCCAAGTTATCTGTATCCTATGTTATTAAGAAATAGTTACAAACTGAGATCAGCCAAATCTCAAGGCATGTAAACAAACATGCATCAATGTATGGAGTACAAAGAGAAGCTTGGTAAGTATGTTGGAAAAGAGAGAGAAAAAGGTCAGTCTAGGGGTGACAATTCGTGTTGGTGGGTCATAATCGTGTCGTGTCGACCTATGAGTATTATGCTAAACAGGTCAACCCAAACACGACTAGTTTAATAATCGTGTCGTGTCGACCTATGAGTATTATGCTAAACAGGTCAACCCAAACACGACTAGTTTAATAATCGTGTCGTGTCGACCTATGAGTATTATGCTAAATAGGTCAACCCAAACACGACCAGTTTAATAATCGTGACAGAGACCCAAGACATGAACACGACCCGCTTATTAAACAGGTAACCTGTTTAACCCATTTAATTATGTGGGTCATGTAAGCATTTATTAATTTAAGTATAAAAAATAAAAATACAATGAAAAATTGAGATAATAGAAAACAAAATTCATGAAAATGAGAATAATTTGGATAATACAATTACAAGAAAATGCTAAAGACAATATCCATATTGAACTTATACGGAAATAATAGAAATGCCCATAGTAATTGGGTTGAAACAAGCCAAGTGGGAAAAAAGAAAAGAAAAGAAAAAGGGTCAAAAATAGGTTAATTGACCTCACACAATTATGACATGATTAATTAAACGGGTCTAATCGCGTTTCTGACAACCCAGATTTTTAGATTAAGTTTTAATCATCATATATGGATTGATTTTTCTTGATTGATCATATTTGGAGAAATTGTCAAATTTAATTGGGAGTTTTTATGTTATTTAAGGAGATATAGGGCACATATGAATTTTTATAAGACTAAAAATTAAATTAGAAGTCAGTAATGCAAATAAATTAGTTAGTGGTGGAGGTTTGGGGTATTTTTAGAAGTTGGGATAGTGGGATGTAACCAAGTAACAACGTGTGCGTGTGTGTATCCATAGTTGCTGCCAAACAGTACTTACCAAGGGATGTGTTAGATTTCAATTAAAGATCAGCTGAATATTTCATATATTCTTGAGGTGATACACGTGCATGTGTGCAAAAATATGCTTTTAGCTTCTAGTGTACTCTTAAGCATCAGATTTGTGACACGACATATATGTATAAGTTGCCAACACAACACACAAATAGTACATGGATACATATTATGTAAATTGACCAAGTTTCCTTTAGAAGCTGGGCTTGGACTGTTCCAAGCATTTACTTATCCATGTGCTCATATAAAGGAAAAAGAAAAAGATAAAAAAGAGAGGATAAAATAGAGAGCAGTGAGTAGGGGCCAAGGGAGAGCTGTTTGAGAGTAGAAAGAGAAAGAGGCAAAGCTAGAGAAGAAGAAAAAATAGACGAGAAGGGACCAAGCTTAGAGGCACCATCTTCTCATCAATTCAACTATCACTTTGGTAGAGTTTTCTCTAACTTGAGTTGTTTTGAGTGGGTTTTATCAATATCTATCTTGTTGCCATGAAAATATCTGTTTTAGTTGTTGCATATGTTTTTTTTTATCAAACTGATATGGGTTTATATTCAAATCATCATGTTTCTTCATCTTATTCTTGAGCTTCTTGTTCCAATTTTGGTGAAAATATATCTATGCTCCGTATAGATGTGTTTGATATACAAAGAATTCTATATAGTTTTGTGAAGCTTACTCCCATGTGCATCAAACCTCTTAGAAGCTCCGTTGGGACTGTCTCACCCACCATTTTGCAGGTTTCAATGAAAAATTGGAGACTTGGAGTTGCTGATTTGGCTTGTTGGAGACTATCTTGTTTTGTATACTCAGTATTGATAAAATGCTTGTATGAGTTTTCTTTGATGATTTTTTTATGAAATTGGAGTTTGGACTGTATCATGTATATATATCATGTGGGGTTACGAATTTTGGTGATTTTCAGAGCTTGTGATTTATTTGTACCCTCGGAAATGGGTCGTTACAGGGTTAAACGGGTTGAGCTCCAAAACACGAACACAACACGATTAATTGAATGGGTTAAACGATTATGACACGAACACAATTAAGGTCAACCGAAATCCGCTAACTTTGTGTTGTGTTCGAGTCGTGTTGGCAGGTCGTGTCGAATTTTGACACCCCTAGGTTAGTCAAGAAAAAACAACACATAATTTAAGTGTTTGCAGTTTAGCATTATGATACAGCAGTCTGGAATCAATTCTAAATTGGACAACTGAGTCTAATGGGTGAAATGAAGTGCCCTCCTGGGAATCCAAAAGGTAACATAGACTATACTTGATGTTTCTTTCTATTTCTATCGGATGAAGCGAATATATATATATATATATATATATATATATATATATATATATATATATAAGAAGAAAGAATATAAACAAAATGGTAGAATAACAGGGTTTAGGGCACAAAATCATCTCCCTAACAAGCCAACATTCTTTTTCTTTCTATTAAACCCCCTTTCTATATTGTGATTACAGACTGCCTTTCAGAAAAGAAAAAAAAAAAACAAAAAAAAAGGTTGGATACCAGACAATATTAGCCAACTCATCTTTCACGCTGAAAAAGAGAGAGACAACAAATTTTTTGGCTTAGATAGGTTAAGAGTTTTGGGAAGTACAAATACAATTTTTTTTCTTTTAAAAAAACGTAATGAATATTTTGGTCAGTTCAAATGTGGAAATAGAAAAGGGTAACATAGCCTTTTATGGTATGCACATTGATTCCTTAACAGTGGAAGCCTGGAAGGCTATAATTTTTGTAACAAGCAGTAAAGCAAAAGAATGATATGATTGTTGCCTTTGGAGTTTGTGCTGATAAGTCATTTCAACAAATGAGACTGCTCGTTACGCTGGCTATAGGATTTGTAATATTCAAGGGGTTTCTCAGTATCTTGGAGGTTGTATCATTTCCACTAAAACAAAATTTATGTAATCTTGCTCTAACCATAGTAGATTGTCATGATACAAGTAGGTATATGATACTTACTGCATTTGAGAGCTGCTCTCGGATATAGGCCATTGATCTCAGCATGGCACCTAATGTATCCCTGGAGACCTGAAACTTCACCTCAGATTCTCCTGAAGTTGTCTCAGTATCTTGCAGCTGGAAAGGTAAGATGGAAAAAAGCCTCATCAAATGAACAATTAGTTGTAAATGTAGTAGAACAGTTTTTTGGATTAGGATGGAAAAAATTCTCATCAAACGAACAATTAGTTGTAGTCACAGATATTAAATGATGTAATAGAACAGTTTTTTGGATCACAAAATCACCACTTGAGTTGGGATTTGTGGAAGATGGATCATGTATCAAATAATTACCTATGCATATAAAAAATTTAAACAAAAATGAAGTATTTATCAAATATAATTTCATACATGGAGACAAGCCAGAGCTACATTTAGGGGCTGGTCTTGAAGGGTTGAAGCCGTCCAGACCAGAAACCACAAGCCAACTAAAGTACAAGCTCAGGTAAACGATTTCTAAATTAGGATTGAAGCTGACTTATCAATTCAAACCCGATCCAAGGTTGAGTTGGGCTTAAGTCAACTCATATTGCAACCGGCAAATACAATCTGTTAAATACCTTTGTTATAGTCATTATTATTTTTGGTAAGTGTATATATATATATATTTTTGATAAGTAAAGTTGAGGGATATGGGGATAAATTATACTACATGAGTTACTTATAACCATACAAAAATAATGAACAAGGACCATAGCATCAGTGAACAAATGCAAAAAGGAAACAAGTGTTATGATCTTAAGTGGTTTATTGATACCTATTAAATTACAACACTTCACTGAAGAATTTGGTACCATTCAAATTATAACACTCAGAAGCACTAGAGTTCAGTTTATTCTAAACATTTACGAATCTGAGAAATTAGTAGAAAAAAGGTTCTGGATATAGAACTAGGATCGTTATAGAGGCTTATTTAAATGGCATGAAGTGGAGTATAGAGAATTTAAGCACCCATGAGAGAAGCTCCTCTCCATCAAAGGACCTCTTGTTCCGCTCTCGCCACAATCCCCACCAAACACAAAGGGTCGCCACCCTCCAAGTGTCTCGGACCTACCTCTTCAGTCCTCAGGGAACTTCACCATGACCCACTGGATACCAAAAAGAGCAAAAATCATGTTTTAGCTATCCCTAGCTACCAGGTAGTGCAAGAGAAGGTGAACCATCGACTCCTCACCTCTCTTACACATACAACACCAATTGACGATAATCTGGCATCTCCTCCTCGGGTTATCAATGGTCAAGATCCTCCCAAGCACTGCAGTACACTCAAAAAAATGTGACCTTAAGAGAGCCATGGTGCACCACACTGCCTTCCAAGGAAACGAAGGCCTACAAGCATGCACCAACCTCCGATACAAGGAGTTGCATCACAAAGATCCCTTGACTAGACACCATCCAACACCACTCATCAAGCCCCATTTCTCCCACAGCCTGACTGAAAAGAAGCGCCATGAACCCACAAATGTCTCCCGACTCCCAACCCTGGAAGTACTTCCCAAACTGCATCCCAATATATCCTCCTCTGCTATCAAGGCTTTAGCAATTGACAACAGTTAACAACCATCTACTCTAAAAGCTTAAGCTATTAGAGAGGGTGTAACCTTAATTTCAAATCCTTCAATAACAACCAAACAAAACTTTCAGATTGCTTTTTCCAATTGGGTATTGACCCCACCCCCACTCACTTGCTCCCCCCCTCCCCCTCCCCCTCCCCCCCTGGGGCGCGTTTTTTTTAATAGATTTGAGAAACTATAACTAGAACTTTTAGCCCTTAAACTGAATTAATGTCAACCCTTAACCAATAAATATGTAAAAGAAATTTTAGAAGACCAAAACAACTTTACGAATACACAGCTATAGTAGCAAAAAAGTAACTTGCTGCAGTAAACAGCAACTCACTATTGTTGCATTGATAGTTCTGCCACAATAAAGTGCTATGGTACCACTGCAGTGCCTTCCAAAAGTATTATGATATTAACTAAAAAGTTTCCAACATTTAGCTATAAATATAAATGGGCAAAGTTTGACAGATTTGACTCAAAATTGAAATAAAAACCATACCCGACTATATACTGTAATAGCCCCACTCCACCACATTGTATGATATTGTCCGCTTTGGGCTTGAACCCGCACGCTTTTGTTCTTGGTTTTAACCCCAAAAGGCGTCATACTATTTGGAGATAGCACTAGCACATATAAGCACTTCACCTTACCTAGGCAATGTGGGATCGTGCACCCGTAGCTTGCCAGTGCCTCGCAGCCACCCACATTAGTTGTTCTCTCTTAAACACTGCTTTTGTCAATCAACATTCACCCACAAAATTTGTTCTTTGGTTACTGGGTTGCTCCTTGCTTTAATTCACTCAATCTCATAGACTAATTTTCAAAGTCTATATTAATTTCAAAGCTCTCTCTCTAGATTAATTTTCAATGCTCTCTATAAAAAATATATACTCTCGTAATCATCGTGATGCTACTCTAAACTGATTATAACCCCATATTTATATTCAATATAGGAGTCCTAGTTGAAACAAAAAACCTGTGTGATTAAAAAATACAACATTCATAGGTTTTTAAAAACGACGATTGATCACTCGGTTCACAAGTTCGATTGATCATGCTTACTTTAGAAGCCCCTAACTGAAGAGTTCAATCAATAGAGGCATCAATCCCTGCTTAATGTTTTCCTTTGATTGATTGGTTTGCTCGATTAAAACATCAATAGTGTCTCTCTTTTCAATTGATACCGATCAATCAACATCCAAAAATCTTTATTTTTAATTAAACTGATTTAAGCCCTTTTTGGTGATCAAACCTAGGTCATAATAAGTCCACCTTTCTAATAAATTAATCCAACCTACATTCTTTTTATTTTCTTACTTTTTTTTATACGTAAATAAAATTTCATAAAAGGCGCTCAAGAGGGGAGCACTCCCGAAGGAATAAACAATGCGCACAAAGCGAAATCCAACCTACATTCTTATGTCTTTAATTAGTATGTCTACAATCTAAAGAGATATGGAAGATGGAGCTACAACAAAGATCATGCTGAAAATCCATCAACACATGACTTAATATCCTAACAAGGGTTCAAAAAGAGTATAGATCTAGTATGCAACTTCATTTTCATAAGGAGCTATCTGAGGCTCTCAAAGTTTTCCTTCCAAATCTTGACCTCACACTCAAACTATGTCCATCCACTTTAATGGCCCAAGCTTTATCATTGGGTCAAGCGATGGCTCCTATATAAAATATAAATGCACAAAGGTACTATTTACAACTTTGTAAGCAGTCACTATATTCATGTGGTACTCTTCCCTGTATTTAAAGCATTGAAAATGGCAAAAGAATGAACTTGTAAGATTTACTACACATAAATAAAGAATGTAAATCAATCTATAGCTGAAGGTGGATAGCAACAAAAATTAAGTTGAAGATATGTCAAAACCATCAACACACCCGCCCCACCCCGCGTGGCACCAAAAAGAAAAGTTAAAAAAAAAAAAAAAAAATCGAATGAGATTGCAAAAGTAATAATCAAATGGACAATAAAGTTCAATTTGGGGCCGACATACCTTTAGATTGATGACAGCAACCCTATTAGCCGGGGTAGAGAGCTGATCACTGATGTAGGCCATAGATCTCAACATGGGCTCTAGTGTGACCCTTGACAGCTGAAACTTAACTTCTGATTCTCCTGAAGCTGTCCTGCTATAATCTTGCAACTGCAAGTGGCAAAATCAGATATTAGACACTTACCGGGGGAAAAAATCAGATATTAAACACGGTGCTGTTTGCCAACCGTCAACTCCACACAGTAGAGAATATCAGCAATAAAGCATCTTGCCCACCCCATATATGGTTTATTTTTATCTTAAAAGAAAATAAAAAATTAAAAAAAAAAAAGGAAGAAAAAACACATAAATGTTCATAGAGAACACGATGACACAAACATAACAGATCCTATAAAGTTTCATGTATTTCAATCAGATAGACCATTCCCCAGTTTTCCCTCATTTCTGTTCAGATTTCAGAGTCCATATCCAAACAGTAAACACAATAAGTCAAATGACATTAAACCCATGGCAAAAATGAGGGGTTTATGTGAGCCTTAAATGCCAAAAGATAATCGTAAATGGAACCAAAATAAAGACCTTATATGCATACCTTCAGGTTGATTACTGCTACTCTATTTGCAGGTGCTGAATTCTTGTTCTCCATCACCCAAGTCATCGACTTGAGACAAGGAAGAACCACCTAGATATAAGGAAAAGAAAAGACAAGCACACCTTATCAATTAAACTGCCCACTTTTAGAGAATCCAGGATGTAATTATCACGGAAGAAAACACACACACATGGAAATTCTACACCTACCATGTTATCAGGATGACCATCATCACGGTGCAGAGACACAGGAGCCATTCGTGGCAGATTTAAATCGGCAACATGTTGAGCAGGAATACCAGTGTCATTCAGATTAAAACGCCGTGTCATTTCATCTTGTCTTGGCCATAATAATGGGGTCATATCTGGAGATGAAGTAGATGTCCTCCTGTCTTCATAGCCAACCGCACTGACCTGTGAACTAGGAGGTGCAACTTTCGCAACATTTTTCTTAATAGCAGCCACCTTCTTTCCTCCTTCTTTAAGGGCAGCCATCGCCACATTATAGGTCTCTGGAGCTATTGACCCTTCCTCTGCATATTTGATGGCTTCACGGCATAGATTGTTGTACCGCAATGCCAGCGACTCTTGGCAATGTAGTTCACCACGTTCATCTGATCCAACCCCACTTTTGGCATTTCTTGTCCACCGCTTCAAGATGTAATGGGAAGGCAGAGTAAGAACATTTGTCACAGTAAAAACTGTCAGAATGTGTCTACAGAGGATGCCTGAATACTCAAACATCTGGCAGCTACAATTTGCTCTCATCTCCGGACTATTCAATGAGACAATGTAAGCTTTGTGTTCATCCTCAAATTTTGCAACTCTGAATGTGCTAATAGCCCCATCATCTTCAATCCTACTAGCGGTATACGCAAAGGTCTCAACTAACTCTTCTTGAAATTTTGCAAATATTTTCCTTGTGTATAGATTTGCTGCCTGTTTCTCCATGGGTGACGGCGTACTCAGTACTGGTGTGGTGCATATTGAATCATAATCTGCTTCTATTTCCTTTTCAAATGAATTCTCTAAAGCTCTTTCATACTGCCTAAAGAACATTGGTAAGGTAGTCTGTTGATTCACATAACCATCAAAAAAGGAGCTTTGAAATCCTTGGCTTGGAGAAATTGCAGCAAAAAATGAATCCCGAGAATACACTGGGACCCATTGTGTGCGTGAATTATAAATTGACTGAAGCCAATCGTTCCTCCTGAGGTCGTATTTATCAAGTATAAAATCCCAAGACGATTCAAATTCCTCGATTGTCTCAGTCAAGTTGATACAATTATACAGCTCCCCTTGAAAATTAGGATGTGCATGACATACATGAGCCAACCTTTCCTGGCCTTCTCTTAGTACATGCCACTTGCTAATACAATGGCGGACTTCTGGAAACACCTGAGCAACTGCTGACTGTATGGCTTTGTCCTGATCTGTTATTATAGAAACAGGGGCACGATCATTCATTGCAGCAAGAAATGTCCTGAACAGCCATATAAATGTAGCCTCAGATTCATCTAGAAGTAATGCACAACCAAACAAAACCGTCTGACCATGATGGTTCACTCCTGTGAATGGAGCAAATGGGACTCTACACTGATTTACTCTGTACATTGTGTCCAATGTAACAGCATCCCCAAAATGAGTGTAGGCAGTTCTAGACCTTGCATCTGCCCAAAATACATTAGCCATGCGATTACCTTCATCAAGCTGTATGGCATAGTAGAAACCAGGGTTCTCAGCCTGCATTTTCTTGAAATAATCCAACAAATTCTGAGCATCCCTCCCTAACGTCCTTTTCCGATTACCAGGTCTGGCAGCATAACTCACAGAGCCAGTGTTCTTAACTGCATGATTTGATTCTGCAGGAGGAACATTCCTAGCTCCACGATTTGTATCTGCAGCAGCACGGTTTCCATCCATTGATACATACATAACACCACTAGGAACAATTCCCACACCTTCATCAATTCCCATATTCTTTGCAGCTCCGGCAAAATGCCTACGGGGTCGCAGGTAATGCACCTTACTAGGTGTCACTGTGGAGTGACTATGGTCCTTCACAAACTTTGTCACAACCCATTTGTCTTGACCCTTACACTCTATTCTAAGCATTGCATCACAGCTATCACCACCCCTCCTTTTTAAGCCATCCCTGGCGCATAAAAACTCACTAGCAGTGACTGTCCCATCAGACTTGAATCGATTACAATGACCAACACGGACGCTAAAACCCACACGCCTGGCATACTCATCATAGAAAGTCTTGGCAGCATCTTCTGAATCGAATTCCATACCCACATGCGGATCAGAATCCCCATCATCATCATGACCGGTAGAGTTTCCAGCAGTGTTCACTTCTCCACTATCGTTGGGTTCAACATCTTCATCATCAGCAATGGCATGGTGCCCCAAGTTCCTCTCTTCCACATCAATCACTTCAACATCCATACTGAACACTTTATAAGACCAATATTGATTGTTACTCTGCGGACCAGTTATGTAGAAGGTATTTTCTTCATTTAAGCAATATTGCTTGCAATCTGCAAATGTTTTAACTCTTAGATTACATGAGATTCATATGGCAACACAGTAAAAAATACAACTTCCTGATTAAACTACATGAAAAACGTCCAATTTATTTATTTATTTTTTTAAAAGGGTAAAGCACCACTTAATCACTAACCCTACATTTGCTAGGGCAGGGAAGGAGGAAAAGGGGGCAGTTCGGTTAGGGAAGAGGGAGGGAGGGAGAAAGGAAGGGAGAGCTGTAACTAAATATTCTTCCACCCAATTTCAGGCAAAGAAGGAAGGGAAGCAAGTTTCCCTCCCTTTTCAACCTTATTATGCCTCGTATATATTGATATGTATATATACATATAAGCATAGCATGTAAATATACATAGAAAAAATACAAACACCCACAAAACAAGTATATATATACATACATACATTTATATACACACACACAAATATCTTCTTAAAGCATACATGTCATATAAGATCTATTAAGGTTAAGCAAGTCCAATATTTTGTCGTTTTCTTTTTCCATCACTTCTCAGAAAACAAACAGGAGAGGAAAAATATAATATATAAGGAAATTTAAATAAAATGCACTTTGTTTTCAGATAAATTTAAAGCTTCCATTCAATCACTATACAATTCACAGATAATCTAAATACAGTCAGTGCAGCAATTTAGACCTCTTGCATGATATCTATCGCCACTACTATAACATACAAACACAGAAATTTAGCTCAATTACTGAAACAAATAAATTGAAAAATAAGCAAACAAAATAATATAGATATACACATATAAATACACACACAAAATATATATGCGTGTATATCAATCAGCATAAGGAGAGAGACCTGTGATCAAATGGAAAATAATAGATCTTCGAACGGTTATCGAAAATTTGTCTTTCGCAGAGGTAAAGCCGAGACTTTTAAGTGTTCTTCAATCAACAGGTCTGCGTTTTTGATCGACGTGAAACGGAGGGGTTCGAAACGACTTCGTTTTGGAATATCTAGGGTTTCATCTCAGCACAGGTGAGATTACAGAGAGAGAGAGAGGGGGGAGCATGTCTCATAGATTCCAGATGACATATGTAGGCGCTAATTTACAACCGTCTGATATAGATCTCGCGGCTCCTATTGTTTCAGAACAAACGCCTTGTGCTTTTATCGATCTTGAGCAGACGGTCATTTTGTGGGTCCCACGTTGCGGGTGTATATCCTCTCACCCTGGCCGTCCATGCTTGTATGTATGTAATGCTGGTCGACTCAGAAGTGAAACGGTTCGAGTTAATTCAATTGACTGACTACACAATTGGTTCTTTTTAAAGCTTGTTTGGTCCCGGTGGGAAACTTCACTTGGATGGTTTGTCAATACTTCAAGGAGATTTTTCTATATTTGCATCACACTTCTTTTGTTTTTTATTTTCTGACAAACATTAGTTTCTCCCTACATTTAACGGTCAAAGATTTAGACACAATTTTTTTGCCGTCGTCAAAAAATAATTTATAATGCCCAATTTGCCCTCCTCGTTCCATTTAATTTAGAGCCTATTTGGAGTTGATGTTGAAATAAAAAAAAAAATTTATTTTTATCAAGCTGTCAAAAATTTACTGTCAAAAGTATTTAAGTGTTTGGTGCTAAGTCACACACTCCATCTTAACGGGTGTCGCTCTCACGGTCCGAGCGCGCTCCCATTCTCATAGTACGCATACTCTCTGACTCAAATTATCACTATTTATGACTTAATTTTGCAGCTCTCACACTCCTACTCTTGAATTCGCTTTCGCTCCGGCTCTCGCTTTATGTGACTTTGGTTTGGTGGCACATTATAATAAATACTTTTCACAATTAAATTATTTTTTAATTTTTTTTGTAACAATATTATTTGAAATACTTTTATCGCTAATTTTACAATAACATCCTTTAATAGGATGTTACCCTATTTGATAATAAAACTTTATTAAGAAGAAGTGCAATTGTCTTTATAAAAAATAAAAAGGACGAAATGTCTAATGAAAAAAGATCACTTAAAACATTCAACCTTTATTCAGAACGCAATTTTGAAAACTCCAAATTCTAGCTTCGAAAAGCTCTACTTAACTAAATTTGGAAATTATTAAAATCGCTTTTAATGATTACGAAACACATCTAAAGGAAAACTGTTCAAATTAAAAACGTTTTTACGCAGTAGAGACACAATCCCAAACGGGCCCTAAATTTAACCCTTTCTCCCCTCGTTAGTAAAAGATTCTCCTTCTCTTGCACCTATTTTTTAGTACTTTTTTTATATTTTACATCTTGATGTTATATTTTGTATAAATAATTCAGCCTTATATAATTAAGCAGTATTATAAAGGAAGAGAAAATAATTAAATAAAACTTATTATGGTAACAAAGTTTGATAATATTGGAATTATTTTGGTCCCAGTTCTAATCTAGGGTTTGCTCTTTAAAATGTCAAAAAGGTACTCACCATCTCTGTGATATGATATTGGTTTCAGTGTACACATGTTACTACAGTGATGAACATGTGTAGTATGGTAATTTTAAATATGAGAGAGCTCATGTAAAATTGACTATACTGTGTAGTTATACTATGCTTTGTTGGGTTTCTATCATTACCAGGGGCATTACAATCTTTTCATAAATTTGTGTAACCATTATATATATGCCTTGGATGCTACATTGCATTTTACAGCTCAAAAAAATCAAGTTTGATTGTGTACACACAGTTGCACCACAAAAATCCGTATATATTAACAAGTGTCTTATAGAGGGGTATTTGGTCAATTATATATGAAGAACAATTGCTTGACACGTATCCAGTGGTCCTAGAGTGAGAGAATGAGGACTGTTATGCATTTCTTTGGCATCAAGGTTGAATTATATCGTTGATATTTGTATTTATATTAGTTGTCATTTGCTGTGGCACTATAGGACAAAAACTACGAAGGTGGCAGGGGTATTATGGTCCTTTTACACAGAGAATGTCAGAATATTTTCTATCAAATGATTGGTTGACAGTGCCAAGTGTATTTCCTCTTTAGGGTAGGATTTTAGCTCAATGTATCCTATATATACACTGTTATAGAATTGTGCCTTTTAAGCCTTTTAAGTGAGCATCCTTACAAGCTACATTGTGACATACACTTGAGACACTAAGAACAATGAACATTTATTGAGATTTGAGGACAATTTGTGAATTAATTCATCTCAGAGATCCATATATTGAGAGTGTGAATTTGAAGATGATATACCGGGCTATATGTTGCTGGTGTACTGGTGCAGAAGGCTGGTTCAGAGGGTCAATCCAAGCTTGAGGCTATTTTAGAGGTTCCTAGAGGTAGAGGCAAGTTTGTTTCACTATTTTACATATGTAGAAACCATGTTTGTATACATTTTCTAGCTATAGTAGATATTGATGTCTCAAACCTCAGTTTGTGATTGCTTTTACTAGTTTTTGCTTCTGATATAAGCTTATAAGGTTGATATTATGTTGTGTGAATGTTGAATACCATCTGAGTATGAATATATATATGATTTAAGGCTGTCCAAGTTGAATTGTACACATAAAAATGACCATTACAGTGTTTGGTCTCTTGAACCATCACAATTAGGGTTTCAGCAGAGATTAGGCCTGTCTGTATACTGTTATTGATATACCTTACCATTATCATTGTGATCATCATATGAGCATGTGTATATTGAAGATATAAGGTTATGGAAACCAAGTTCTAGTCTGCGTTGATATGAAATTCTAATTTTACCCCTCAGACCACATATATCAGAAGAATGAAGCATTGTTGTTGTTGTTTAATACTTTGAAATATGGAATCATCCTTATCTATTGTAATAACTTGAGTATTGTTGTAATACATTTTTTATATTGTATTTGGTAATATGTGAGAGCTTATAGGGTCCAAGCATGGTTGCTTAGGACATGGGGTGTAATACCCCTAATTTTAAAAGGATAGTATCGGCATTTTAAGTTTTATTTTATTGCATTTTTATTTGTTTATATGTTTGGTTGCCTGGTTATTTTAATTAATTGATTATTTGTTTTAATTGAACTGTTTGTTTCATTGTTAATTTAATTGTATTTTTATTTTCTTTAATTAGATTAAATTAGTTTTAATTGTTTAAATGGTTTATTAGTTTATTTAAATGAATTAATTGGATTAAATTAGAGTTATTAATTATAATGTGAAATTAGGGTTTTAGTCTTTTATGGATCGTATTGGCTTACTAGGGTTTAGTTGGGTTTCCGTCTCTAATTACATCTCTAATTACAAGTAGACTTAGGTTTTATATTTGCCTATATATATACTATTATAAGTCTGCAAAAGATTTTTAGAACCCTATTCATGTACAGAGACATAGAGAGAAACAGAGAGGGAATTGTGAGAAAAACAAAGAGCGTCCAGTTAGGGTTTTTGGCTGTGGATTAAAGGACGGACCTATGAGGAGGGAAAGGTGAGCAGAAGGAGGTTGACAGTGAATGGACATCGTCAGAAAACTTAGGAAGACAGCGACGAGTTTTTAATTCAAAATCTTAGGCAAGTTCTACTCTGTCTCTCTCCCCTTGACATGTATTATATGCATGCCTAGAGGATCTCTATGGTTTTAATCAGACATTAAATAAATCTCCTATGTTTTTAAATCAAGATTAAATAGTCTATGTGTTGAAAAATTAACCGTTTCTTTGTATCAACTGTTGTTTCATATGTGTTCTAAGTTTCTATTAATGATGCATACAGGAGTTTAGATGCCTTATGAGGAATTTTGGGACATGAATTGAACCCTAGGAATTGTATTCGATATCACAGAAGTGAAGAAGACGAACTAAAAGAGGAAACGAAAGAAGCAGCTCTCTGTGAGAGAGAGAGCTGGCTCTATGGATTGAGGGAGCCAGCTCCCTAGACCATAGAGCCTGCTCCCAAGGTGTGGGAGCAGGCTCTCAACTTATGAGAGCATGCTCTCATGCCAAACTTGCTACATAACGTGGTTTAAGGGTCTGTTTTGGGTTTTTGAAGTTCCTAGACTGTTTTGGGTGATTTGTAGGGACTCTAAACATTATATTATACTGTATTAGAACCCGCATTGCATAATTAAAGTCTTTACGCTAACGGATTTAACAGTAAGGAAGTTTAAACAATCTTGCGTACTGTTAACGGATAGAAATGATTAAATTGTGTATTTTTGTTTTAACAATTTAATGGACTGTAGCATTGATTCTAAAAAAGCTATTAGGCTATATTAGAACCTACACGGTAGAATTAATATTTTTATGCTAACGGATTTAATAGTAGGAAAGTTTAAACAATCTTGCGTACTGTTAACGGATATAAATAATTAAATTGTGCATTTTTGTTTTAACAATTTAATGGACTGTAGCATAGACTCTAAACATGCTATTAGGCTGTATTAGAACCCACACGGCAGAATTAATATTTTTATGCTAATGGATTTAACAGTAAGGAAGTTTAAACAATCTTGCACGTTGTTAACGGATAGGAATGATTAAATTGTGTAATTTTGTTTTAGCAATTTAACAGACTGTAGTATGATTTATAAATCTTGTTTGGATGCATAATAGGGTTATTTTATTATCAAACTTGTTTTATACTTACTCTGAATTTTAATTGCTGAGATATTAAACTTTGCTCTGCAATTATATGGATAAACATTTTGGATTCTAATTGCTGAACTATTAAACTTTGTTCTGTCAATTACAAGGATTACTGTTGTGGATTTTAATTGCTGAACTACTATATTATGTTCTGTACTTACATGGATGTTGTGGATTATATGCACCGGTATGGAACGGTGGCATATTAGGTTTGGATTAGATCAAAATGCTAATTCCTACCTATTCTGGATTTAGCAAATGGATTTAATATTAACATTGAAATCCTAATTAAATGTCGTTTCTTGGCAACGAACAGTTGAGCGGCACTTCATTGGTTTTGGATGGAATTTATATATATATATTTATGGTACCACGATATAAGTTTGAGTCTTAAGATCGTTGGTTAGGGAGCGTTTATGCATTGGGATGCATAGCTGGCTATGATAGTTGAGGTGTACCCTATTAGGTCTAAGTACTCATACCCACCGTTAGGTACATTTTTGCATGTTGCCTTCTATTCAGGTTGAGACCCCCATTGTAGTCCAGTAAGAGCCCTTTAGTGTGGATATATATATGTATGGACTAGATAGATATTGTTAAGATATCTAGGATG